GGGTAAGAAATTCTCAACCAAAAGCTTCAATCTTCAAGACCAAAGTGTGTGTGCAAAGCCCTAGCTTCCAAAACATGTTCTCTCTAGCCCTAAGAACTGAAAATAAGCCAAAAATCTCAAGAGATCTGCTTGGTCGGGTATAAAAATGGTTTGGGGATTAAAAATGTGAAATTCCAAAACTGCCCAGTTTTCATGCCCAGTTCTTCATCGCGTTCGCGTTAGCAGCTTCGCGTTCGCGAAGGTTTGATATTCTAATCTTACGCGTTCGCGCTTGGACCTAAGCGTTCGCGAAGCTTTGGGTCTGGAATCTATGCGTTCGCGTTCAGGTATACGTGTTCGCGAAGTTTTGGATTTTGAACCATCGCGTATGCGTTTGTCCCTTCGCGTTTGCGTAGGTTAGGTTTCCAGCTCCTTCGCGTTCGCATTGTGCGTTTGCGTTCGCGAAGGGCAAATCACTAGCAGGCATCATTTTGTTCATTTTAGCTCCTTTTGATCTGTTTTCACTTGGTTTCCCCATCATTACTTCTAAATCACATACACCCTGTAAAATAGAAGTAAACGACATTAAAACACACGATTTATTCACTCAAACATAGCAAAAGTATAGGTTTAAAGACAAGATAAGTTGGTAAAATACCAACTTATCACGTGCGTGATTGAGTTTGGAGGTTCTTCGGATCAGTTCTTGCTGTTGGCGGAGTTTGCCTACAACGACAGCTATCAGTCATGCATTCAGATGGCACCGTACAAGGCCTTATATGGTAGGCGATGTAGATCTCCGGTGGGTTGGTTCGAGCCGGGTGAGGCCAGATTACTGGGCACAGACTTGGTTCAGGATGCTTTGGAGAGAGTCAAGGTGATTCAGGATAGACTCCGTACAGCCCAGTCCAGACAGAAGAGTTACACGGATCGAAAGGTTCGTGATGTTTCCTACATGGTTGGAGAGGGGGTTCTGCTTTGGGTTTCGCCTATGAAAGGCGTTATGAGATTTGGGAAGAAAGGGAAGTTGAGTCCGAGGTTTATTGGCCCTTTTGAGATCTTGAGGCGAGTTGGGGAGGTTGCCTATGAGCTTGCCTTNTCCGTACCGTATGGCTCCTCCTGAGTTGAAGGAGTTGAAGGAGCAATTGCAGGAATTACTTGATAAGGGTTTTATTCGGCCCAGTGTATCGCCTTGGGGTGCTCCTGTGTTATTTGTGAAGAAGAAGGATGGTTCTATGAATGTGTATTGATTACCGCCAGTTGAACAAGGTTACAGTGAAGAACCGTTATCCTTTGCCTCGTATTGATGATCTGTTTGACCAGCTTCAGGGTGCACTGGTGTTTTCTAAGATTGATTTGGGCTCAGGTTACCATCAATTAAAGATTCGGGAGCCAGATATCCCGAAGACTGCCTTCAGGACTCCGTATGGTCATTACGAGTTCGTTGTTATGTCATTTGGGCTGACCACTGTCCCAGCAGCCTTCATGCATCTGATGCACAGTGTATTCCGGCCATATCTTGACTCTTTTGTCATTGTCTTTATTGATGATATTCTGGTGTATTCCCGGAGTCGGGAAGATCACGAGCAGCACTTGAGGACAGTGCTTCAGACTCTGAGGGAAAAGAGAATATATGCAAAGTTTTCAAAATGTGTGTTTTGGTTGGATTCCGTGGCATTCTTGGGTCACGTGGTATCGAGTGAGGGAATTCGGGTGGATCCGAAGAAGGTAGAGGCAGTGCAGAGTTGGCCCAGACCATCCTCATCTATAGAGATTCGCAGTTTCCTTGGCTTGGCGGGCTACTACCGTCGTTTCGTGGAGGGGTTTTCATCAATTGCATCCCTTATGACTAGATTGACCCAGAAAGGTACTCCATTTCAGTGGACTGAGGAGTGTGAGGCAAGCTTTCAGAAGCTTAAGACAGCTTTGACTACAGCCCCAATTTTGATATTGCCTACCCATTCGGGGTCTTATATTGTCTATTGTGATGCCTCGAGAGTTGGCCTTGGAGCGGTATTGATGCAAGACGGTAGGGTAATTGCCTTCGCGTCCAGACAGTTGAAGATACATGAGAAGAATTATCCTGTCCATGATCTTGAGTTAGGTGCCATTGTTCATGCAGTAAAGATTTGGCGTCATTACTTGTACGGTGTGCCTTGTGAGATATATACTGATCACCGGAGTTTGCAGCATCTGTTCAAGTAGAAGGATCTTTATTTGCATCAGAGGAGATGGCTAGAGTTGCTGAAGCATTATGACATCACTATCTTGTATCACCCGGGCAAGGCCAATGTGGTGGCTGATGCTTTGAGCCTCCGGGCAGAGAGTTTGGGGAGTTTGGCTTATTTACCAGCAGCAGAGAGGCCTATGGCGATGGATGTTCAGGCCCTAGCCAGCCAGTTTGTGAGATTGGATCTTTCGGAGCCTAGCCGGGTCCTAGCTTGTGTGGTCTCTCGGTCTTCCTTGTTTGATCGTATGAGGGAGCGACAATATGATGACCTTCATTTGCTTGTCCTTATGGACAAGGTACAACATGGTGATGCCAGAGATTTTACCATTGGCGAGGATGGAGTATTGAGGATGCAGGGTCGGGTCTTTGTACCAAATATTGATGGGCTTCAGAAGTTGATTCTAGAGAAGGCCCATAGTTCGCGGTATTCCATTCATTCGGGTGCCGCGAAGATGTATCAGGATTTGAGGCAGCACTACTGGTAGAGGCGGATGAAGAAGGATATACTTGGGTTTGTAGCTCGGTGCCTTAATTGTCAGCAAGTAAAGTATGAGCACCAGAGACCGGGTGGATTGCTTCAGCAGATAGATATTCCGGAGTGGAAGTGGGAGCGGATCACCGTGGTCTTCGTATCTGGACTCCCACGGACTTTGAAGAAGTTCGATGCCATTTGGGTTATTGTGGATCGGCTAACCAAGTCCGCGCATTTCATCCCTGTGTGTACTACCTATTCCTCGGAGCGGTTGGCGGAGATTTATATCCGGGAGATTGTCCGTCTGCATGGTATTCCAATTTCTATTATTTCATACAGAGGTACTCAGTTCACATCGCGGTTCTAGAGAGCCGTACAGCAGGACTTGGATACCCGGGTGGAGTTGAGCACATCATTTTACCCTTAGACGAACGGGCAGTTCGAGCACACTATTCAGATTCTTGAGGATATGCTCCGTGCGTGCGTGATTGAGTTTGGAGGTTCTTGGGATCAGTTCTTGCCATTGGCGGAGTTTGCCTACAACAACAGCTATCAGTCCAGCATTCAGATGGCACCGTACAAGGCCTTATATAGTAGGCGATGTAGATCTACGGTGGGTTGGTTCGAGCCGGGTGAGGGCATATTACTGGGCACAGACTTGGTTCAGGATGCTTTGGAGAGAGTCAAGGTGATTCAGGATAGACTCCGCACAGCCCAGTCTAGACAAAAGAGTTACACAGATCGGAAGGTTCGTGATGGTTGGAGAGCGGGTTCTGCTTCGGGTTTCGCCTATGAAAGGCGTTATGAGATTTGGGAAGAAAGGGAGTTTGAGTCTGAGGTTTATTGGCCCTTTTGAGATCTTGAGGCGAGTTGGGGAGGTTGCCTATGAGCTTGCCATACCTCCCAGCTTGGAAGGGGTTCTTCCGGTATTTCATGTTTCGATGCTCCGGAGGTATCGTGGTGATCCGTCGCACGTGTTGGATTTCAATTCAGTCCAGTTGGAGAAGGATCTATCCTATGTTGAGGAGCCAGTGGCAATATTGGACAGGCAGGTCAGGAAGCTGAGGTCAAAGAACATTGCATCCGTGAAGGTTCAGTGGCGGGGTCAGCCGGTCGAGGAGGCAACCTGGGAGACCGAGCAGGATATACGCACCCAGCACCCTCATCTTTTCAGTACTTCAGGTATGTCCTTGTGCTCGTTCGAGGACGAACGAATGTTTAAGTGTGGGAGGATGTAACCACCCGGCCGGTCATTTTTGGAATTTACGCCCCGATCCTCTATTAACTGCTCTCCTCAAGTTTATTTTTGCTATTTTTATTTGCCGGGATGTTCGGTTTTTGAGTTTCGGAGAGTTTTGGGACACTTAGTCCCTAAATGAGAGCTTAAGTATTGGAAAGTAGTCCGTAGTCGGAACAATGTGAAGACGACCTCAGAATGGAAATCAGATGGTTCCTTTAGCTCCGTTAGGTGATTTCGGGTTTAGGGGCGTGGTCGGATTGTGTTTTGGAGGTTCGTAGCTAATTTAGGCTTGAAATGCCCAAAGTTCGAATTTTCAAATTTCCGGTTCGATAGTGAGATTTTGATCCGAGGGTCGGAATGGAATTCTGAGAGCTGCAATAGTTCTATTATGTCATTTGTGATGTGTGTGCAATGTTTGAGGTCATTCGGAGGTGGTTTGGTTAGGTTTTTGATCGAAAGCGTATTATGAGGAAATTTGGAGTTCTTAGGCTTAAATTCTTGACTAATTCAAGTTTCCGACGTTGTTTTAGGTGGTTTAAGGATTGGTACTAGTTAGAATGAGGTATTAGGTGTTGTTGGTGCTTTTGGTTGAGGTCCCAGTGGCCACGGGATGATTTCGGATGGTTGACGGGGAGGTTGAAGAAGTGTTGCAGCAACTGTAGTATTGCTGCTTCTGTTATTTTCGCATCTGCGGCTTGGGAACCGCAGATGCGGCGTCGCAGAAGCGGCTAAAGAACCGCAGAAGTGGCTTGGGGTCATTCCTTCAGAAACCGCAGATGCGGTGTGAGGCCAGCAGAAGCGGAACCGCAGATGCGGTAAGGAGATCGCAGAAGCGGATTTTGGTTGGTTCTTCAGGTTCCGCAGATGCAGTGGATCTTCCGCAGAAGCGTAACCGCATCTGCGCGTGGAGGACCGCAGATGCGGAAGCTTGGACATTTAATGAAAATCGCAGTTGCAACTTTTTGTCCGTAGAAGCGGGACCGCAGATGCGGTCCTAGGGCCGCAAATGCGGAAGTAGCTGGGCATATCATATAAATAGTTGCCTTTGCGAAAATTGGCTATTCTTCCACCATTTTCATCTGGGTTTGGAGCTTTTGAGAGGGGTTTTTGAGGAAATCAAAGGGGAATCACTTGGAGGTAATGTCCTTGACTTCATAACTTATTTTATGTGATTAAAGGCCTAATTAATGGTGAGAAATTTGGAAAAAGGGGGTAACTAGGGCTTGAGTTTAAGAGACCTATAATTGGGGATTTGAGGGGACATTTGGACTCCGATTTTAGTGTTCTTGTTATGTATAGACTCGTGAGAGTACGAGGTTTCTGAAAATAAAAATTTCATCCGATTCCGAGATGTTGGCCTGAGGGGCATTTTGGTCATTTTACATAATTTTGCGTATTAGCTTTGAATTAAATTGTAGAATTTGCTTGAGATGTTATTTATGACATGTAATTGTATTGGATAGATTTGGGTCATTTGAAGTCGGATACTCATGGCAAACGTGTGGTTTTGAGTTGATTTAGGAGTCGGTTCGAGGTAAGTGGCTTGTCTAACCTTGTGTGGGGGACTTTTTCCCCTTAGGATTGATATTATGGTGATTGAAATGCCTCGTGCGTGAGGTGACGAGCGCGCACTTGTGCTAATTGTTGGAAATCCGGTTTTTCTTTAATAATAGCCTTGAATTGTGTTCCTATTTTCCTTGCTTACACTGTTTGATATTTAAATCTGTTGTAGCTTAGAGAAGCATGTCTACTTGACTAAATTGCTTTATCTGTCTTAACTGCCTTAATTGTACTACGTGAACCATGCTAGGTTAGGATTACCTGCTTCACTTTGATATGAAATTGATTGAATTGAGTTCTGTTGTTGTTGTGTATTTACCTTGGGACTACGGAACGGTATTCTGGGAGATCCCCCTGCACTTTATTTTGGAACTACGGGACGGTATCCGGGAGCCCCCCTGTATGTTTACTTTGGGACTACGAAATTGCATTTCGGGAGATCCCCCTGCACTTTATGAGTTGGACTGCGGGACTGCACCCGGGAGATCCACTGGACATGATATTTATATTTGGAGACTACAGGACGGTATCCCGGGAGATCCCCGGTTGTTATCTCGGAGTTGAGTTATGTTCTTTTACTGAGTTTTACTTGCCTTTGTAATAGTTGTTGCTGTCCTTTATATCTTGTGTTATTTAATTACACTGTCATCTCACACTGTTAAACCTGTATCTTATTTAACCTCAGTAGGGCCCCGACCTTCCTCGTCACTAGCCAACCGAGGTTAGGCTTGGCACTTACTGAGTGCCGATGTGGTGTACTCATGCCCTTTCTGCGCATTTTTTTCATGTGCAGATCCAGGTACTTCTGCACAGGCTTACCATCCGTGAGGCAGGGAGATCTTTTGGAGACTTCGAGATACATCTGCCGCGTCCGCAGACCGAAGAGTCTCCATCTTTATTCTATCTTGTATTATTAGCCCTTCTATCATACTGTTGATGTAGACATTCCGGAGGTAGAGCATTTTCGCTATATTTCTCTGAGCTTGTGTTCCCGTGAGTTTCCGGATTTTGGGATAGTATTGTAGAAGTTTGAGATATTGTGCTGTATGTGTCGAGTGGCATTTTACATTTCTTTTCCATTTTGTTGAATCTTGGTTTTAAGTTATAATTTCCGCAAGGTTTCGATTGTTCTTCCGCACTTGTTAGGCTTACCTAGT